AGTTAAAATGAAAAGAAAAAAACACATCTCTCATCTTCCTATACGCTCCACATGACCCCTCTTCATTCATTGGGCGTGGCGGAAGGGGAGGAGCAGTGGCGGCTTGATTCCTTGCCTTCAACCACAACAGCACGTGGAAGAGAGAGAAGATGGGACGACAAACAAAATGGAAGTAAATGAAATGAAAGATTTTAGGGTTTGGTTTGTAGAAGAGAAGAAGCTTACCGTCAAGATGAGGACCGCCACGGAGACCAGAAGCTCGGCGATCTCTCCGACGATGGTGGCGGTCTTGTTTTTATTTTATTTTATTTTTTGTAAATATGCCAATCTAGTCATACTTGCTTATGAATTCCATATATTTCCAATACTTTCTCGTGGAGAATTTCGAATTCATCGTTTTTTACACTACCAGTTTCTCAGTTTGGTATAAGTTGACGACTAAAAGTTTAAAACTTTTTTTACTATGCTTTTCATAAATTTTTTTAATCAGAGCTTACAAATAGTTTGAAACGATTCTACCTATATATGTATTACTATGATTTAATAAGTGAGTGATACCAAAATGAATAAACTGAATAGGTATTGGAGCTAGGAATAGTGGTGCATTCCATTGTAATAGGACTATCAGTAGGAGCCACTAACAATACTTGCACCATCAAAGGTCTCATTGCTGCTCTTTGTTTCCACCAAATGTTCGAAGGCATGGGTCTCGGTGGCTGCATCCTCCAGGTGAATTCTTCCTTTCCAAATAATTACTAATCTGGTCTGGTCTAGTCCTGTCCATTACTTGTAGGATTTGTTTTTAACCCGGTTTGGTTTCTCCAAATATTATGATTCTTCAATAAATCGGAAAATGATGAAAACATGCGCAGGCGGAGTATGGATGGGTGAAAAAGGCGGTGATGGCTTTCTTTTTCGCGGTCACAACGCCTTTTGGAGTTGCTTTAGGGATGGCATTATCTAAAACGTACAAAGAGAATAGTCCTGACTCGCTTATTACGGTTGGGCTACTCAACGCTTCTTCGGCTGGACTACTCATTTACATGGCTCTAGTCGACCTTTTAGCCGCAGACTTCATGGGTCAAAAGATGCAACGGAGCATCAAGCTTCAGATGAAGTCATACGCAGCCGTTTTGCTTGGTGCCGGTGGCATGTCCGTCTTGGCTAAGTGGACTTGATGATGCTACCTTTGACTCTCTATTTATTTTCTTCCTCTTGTTGTACATCAAATAATGGATACATATAGTGTGAGATAAATGTACTTATGAAACCATCTGATCCAAGTTCTGGTACTTTTTTTCTTTGATGATTTGTTAGTTCTTTACTTAAATGATGCAATATGCATTAATGATTATGACAGGGGCAATCTTGATGTAATGGAGCCATGGAGGTAGTTCAAGTAAAGTTTTAGATATATAAGCGAAAACAAATTGTCTAATCAATATCGAGTTAACAGGATTATATATGAAAATGGAATTAAATTTTAAACAGCACATCATATAATTCTAGCTAAAAGTAAACCCAAAACGTACAATAGTTATATATCAATATTGTTTACCAATATTAGTTAGCTATTATCTTATCTATAGTGATTAAAATACGAATAGTTAGCTATTATTTCATCAACGGTGATGAAAATAGTTTACTATAAAAACGTTAGTTAATATATTTATTCAAATAATAATATATTTTACTATATAAACACTACAATAATCAATTCACTTATATATTTTTTGGTATATGTTTATCAATATCGTTAATTAATATAGTTAGCTATTATCTCACCATTCATATTCTTATTGATTAGCTCGCGATCAAAACGAAACTACCGATTAGATAAATTATGATCTTTCATCTTCGGAGAAAAAAAAAAGTGTGAAGGTGAAGAGATTGTTGCGTAATCGGTAGGGGTTTTTAGAAAGAAGTTTAAATATA